AAAATCCAATATTCTTATTGTATATTTTTTTTTTTTTTCCATGTAAATGCAATTTTAAAAGTTGTATTAAAATAATACATGATCTGTCTGCCATAAGGGCCCCTGTTTGGCTACGTCCATTTTATAGGGTGACAACTGTTTCCCAGTTGTACTGCTGCCTTGTCACCCTGTAACATGCACACGTGGTGGAGACTACAAGCAGCCATGCTGACGCATATAGCTCAGGCATGGTCTACCCTTGGTTAGTAAACCAGTCCAGAGCAATGATCTCCTTCAGCCACTTTGTGTGCACTCTACTCAGTCTGCTACAGATCAGCAGCAATAAAATGCAGAACAGGTAAAACGGACTTTATGGAATAAAGCGGGGTGCTTTAGCGAGCTGATTGCCATCTAGTTGGGGTGCACATCTCCTCTAGTTAGCGATTCATGACACATTGCATTAGGCAGCGTTGAGTTGTGGCTATACAGCCCCATTAAGATGGCAACCCCAGAGACCTACAATAGCCAGTCTATTGTTACTATGGGAATTGAGTGGTTTCTGTCTCTCAGGCTATACCCACTTGGATTAATAAGTCTCTGTGGGCCTTTATGTCGGGAGAGCTCCAGACATATCTGACAAATCATAAATTGTCGGCACACAGCTGGCTGCCCCTCCCGGAGAGGGAGTTGGTTCTTGCACAGCTGACTTCCTTTTTAAAACCCTCGGCGTTGGTGGGCGGAATGTCTTCCGTACATTTGTAAGGGTTTTGGATGATTTTATTATAGCGTTGTGCCTATTGATTCATCATAATAGAATGAGTGGGGTGTGCCTGGGATGATGATGATAAATGCTGTAGAAGATGAGTGTATGTGAAACCTAACAATGGACTTCTCTTATTGGCTCCTTTTTGGTCAATAAGTGCTAAAACAAAAATCTGTTGATCCTGCCAGATATCAAGTGGGCCGATGAGTACCAGTGACTGTGCTGCACTCTGTTACATTGTTTCCAGTTCTCACGTAAACTAAACTTGACTTTTCCATAGATAGTTTGTTGAGTGAACATTGTCCCCCTAGGGCAGGAAGTGTGTTACTGGCAGAATTACCAGGTAAAATGTAAAAGGGAAAGTGACCTGCAGATTTATATATAATGTCATTGTGCACTGGAGTTGCCATGAAGTGTAAAGTCGGCTACATCACTAACACATACCATTTAAAATGACAAATTGTTTGTAAAAGTTTAATTCTGATGCTAATTCCATTCTAATTTGCTTTTATACTTTGTAATGATTGTCTAGATTGTGTTTAGCCAATTGTCAACTTTGATGGACATTCATTCAGCCTGTGGCCAGTGTGTGCCTGTGGGTGGGTGGCCTAAGGCACGATGGGAGTCTGTGGCCTCTTGCTTCCACACCATGTGCTGCGCTGACATCAATTACAAATACCCAGATAAGATCCTGTTTGTTTTAGGAATGTTTTCCATCAAATAAATGTATTTCCCTGATTTATATATCGGCAGGTATCAACCCTTCTATCCTGTTGGAGGAGAACGGCAATGAGGACACCATCGGCGTTCTGGTGCGTCTTATCACAGAGAAGAAAGGTCAGTAGTGCGTTGTTTTTCAATGTGGCTTCTGTGCTGTCGTGTAAATCTGCCACTTGTTGTCATACGTGTTAGGGGGTGACAGGGTGCTGGAAATTTGAAGATCTTTCCATAGGTGAATTGGGCAGACATTAGGTTTAGCACAGTTGCATTGGCTTTCTGGATACTTTAACCGATATGGTTTACTGATATTTATTTAGTTTTTGCTTGGGTATCTCTTTAAAGAGACCCTGTCACCAACAATCTTCCCATGAGATTATACCCTATTGTATGCATGTTATTTGCCTATAAAATACTTGTGTGGACATCCATCTATAACAGGAATCCAGGGCAAATCCTCCAATAGGGGAAACTTACTTTGGTGAGATTTCCTCTCACTTCCTGTTTTGTCTGTGGAACAGAAAGTAAATGTCACCAATGGCCCCTAAAGGGGGGCGGCTACATGCTCCATTCTAGTGACAAGTACAGCTCAGGTGGTGCACATGCGCCAGTCTAGCCATTAAACCCTATTCCTGTACCCAGCACATGTGGGGTGTTAGAGGGTTCTGGAGGTCTACAGAAATAAATGCCCCTGGGCTGAATCTGAGTGATCTGTGCCATTTTATATTGGGCAAAGGTGTGGGCTGAGGTACAGTATTGTATTTTTGAACAAAAACACTTTTACATTATTATATGGGCATGACCTGCAGGAACACCTGTAAAATGCTACGTGTACAGATTGACCATAGACCGAGCAAAACAAACCTGTTCTGAAATAACTAAATTTCCTGCTTCCTTCCCTCAGAAAATGCTGTTGCCTTGGAAGAATTACTGAAGGAATATCAGAGCAAGCAGGTCCCCACCATAGGAAACAAGTCACCTCAAAAGTAAGCGGATGGACAAA